GGATTTCTTTTTGGATCAAGTCGTTCGAAAGAAAGATGGACGGCAAACATTGCGTCAAGTCATTTTAGATGCGCGGGAGTGACAGACTCCATAGCCGAAGTTGATCGCAGTTGGAGATGCAATCAGTGCCGTGAGGAGGATTCTGTGTTGCAGTCCCAAGTGTCAACTGGTCGTTCGATGTCAAGCAAACGCTCATCTAGGGTAGATCTCAATCTGAGAATGCTAGAAGAGCAGAAATCCATGCGGACAAGAAGGATCCTGGAAGAAGAAGCAGCTCAGGCAGCTGCGAGGATGAGAATCGCTGAGGAAGAGGAAAACTTTCTGAAGCAAAAGTATGCTTTGCTCCTGGCAGAAGCGGACAATGCAGAGGATGGTGCCAGAAGGAGATCCAGGCTGAGCAGTCGAGCCAGTCGCGAGAAGGTACGGTCATGGCTTAGCGGCAGGAAGTGGGTGCATCACAACAAGTGACAGTAGCACCATCCAGCAGCATGCCGCCATCGATCGTAACTTCAGAAGCAGCTAAACAGTCGGTGATTCCAGAATCTATTCCTATGGCAGAGTCAACCATAAAATCCTCAACGTTTATCCCGACGAATGCAGATAGCATTCCTGCAATAGTAGCTACTAGTGCAGCGTCAACTTCCACACCGAATTCTGAAGAGGATTTCGGAAAAACAGGCTGTGGGACGGACGTTTGCCCTGTAGCCTTATCAACGGGTAATTTCGTATCTCGCACTGAAATAGCAATCCAACAACCGCCGGTAAGTACATCGCGGTTTCTCTGATGGGATTCCTCGTTCAGAATTAATACTTTAAACGCGATGGATGCTACTACGGGAATTATCATAGGGATAGAGCACATCCGACTTCTAACTTCGTTGCGAGTATGTGAGGGTAAGGAAAACGAACCGGTGGCGACAAAGATGCGCCTTGGCTGGTGCGTTTTTGGAAAGAACTCCGATAACGGTACCGTGCTGGAACAGCTGAACCTACACCTTGTGAGCGATCTGGGAAATCGGGAGCTACACGAATGAATGAAACAATACTTTGCTGTCGAGGAATCAAGTGTGACAGTCAAGCCAGAAGCCGAAGAAGACAAACGTGCCCGTGAAATCATGGAAGCAACTACAAGACGAGTGAACGGGTCGTTTGAAACAGGGTTGTTATGGAAGCATGACCATTTTCCCTTCCCGGACAGCTACCCCATGGCAGTACGACGAATGAGGGCGTTAAATACGCGGTTAAGCAGAGATCCAGTACTCGAATCTAAAGTGAAGGAGACAATTGCACAGTACGAAGCGAAAGGATATACACACCGGATCACTTCGGAGGAACTCCAGTCAACGGACCCGAGCAAGGTTTGGTACTTGCCACTGGGCGTGGTGCAGAATCCGAAGAAACCGGACAAAATTCGGCTAATATGGGATGCAAAAGCACGAGTAGGAGGAGTGTCATTCAACGACATGTTGATGAAGGAGCCAGATCTATTAGTTGCACTGTTGTCAGTACTACTACGCTTCAGGCAAAGGAATATTGTGGTGGTTGGTGATATAAGGAAGATGTTCCATCAGATTCTTATGCGCTACTTGGATAAACAATCGCAGAGGTTCATTTTTCAGCTATTTCCAGATTCTCCCCCTCAAATCTACGTAATGGACGTGGCCACATTCGGCGCAACAGTTCACAGTTCATTAAGAACAAAAACGCAGCCGAGTTCGCCGTAAGCTTTCCCAGGGCGGTGAAGGCAATAATAGAAAATCACTACGTGGATGATTTCCTGGACAGCGTAGATTCGGAAGCAGAGGCTGTGCAGCTCGTCAACGAGGTTAAGTACGTGCACTCACAAGCGGGATTCGAGATTAAAAACTTCTGCTCTAGTTCCGCTGATGTTCTGGCTGAGATCGGAGAACAAAAAGCGCCAGTGATGGTATCCATGAATCTGGAAAAATCCTTGGAAACGGAGCGAGTGTTGGGGATGGAAGACATCTTCACGTTTGACCTGAGCACCATGAAGGACGAGGTCAGAGTGCTGATTGAAAGATCAGCTACACCAACCAAACGACAAGTCCTGAAGACCATAATGTCAGAGTTGGTTAGAAATGCTAACATGAAGCTTTTAGTGTGATGATTTATTAGCTAGAGAATGATCTTTAGAAGAGGGTAGGTGGATAGTTCCGTTAGGGTACGGCAGTATGAAAATTGAATAGAAGTTGAAAATGAGCGTACTGCCGTACTCTAACGGAACTATCCACCTACCCTCTTCTAAAGATCACGGTGCCGAATCAATACATACGCTTCCACCATTGGAAGAATATTGTTTCTTCGCCGATTTGATTTACAAAAGCTCACAGGATGCACAAAAAAAGAAAAGTTCCTAGTCCGCCCTTCAAAAGGAGACCAGCCACATCAGGATGGGACGAAGAATGCACAAAATTGTATGTAGAAAAATATGATGCTTTCAAAGCTTTTCGTAGACACAAAACCTCCACATACTTCGGAATATTCAAAGCTTGAGACAAACCTGAAACAATTAATCAAAGCAAAAAACACGGTTATTGGCGCAATTTCGTCGAGGGACTCTCACGAGAAACCTCAATGAACACCTTGTGGAGGGTGGCTCGTAACATGCGTAACCGCTCATCTTCTAATGAGAGTGAAGAATACTCCAACCGATGGATATTCGATTTCGCTAAAAAGGTCTGTCCGGACTCAGTTCCAGCACAACACATTCTTCGAGAAGCGTCACCGAGTGGCAGCTCGCTGGATAACCCATTCACAATGCTGGAATTCTCTATGGCTCTTCTTTCATCGAACAACTCCTCACCGGGAAGCGATATGATTAAATTCAATCTTCTGAAAAATCTCCCAAATATCGCTAAAAGACGCTTGCTACACTTATTCAATTCCTTACTAGAAGGAACAAACGATTGTCTAGGGCTGCTTTCCACAGATATTCAACTGGCCTTTGCGCACAAGGAGCAATTGGTTTCAGTATTCTTGGACATTAAGGGGGCTTTTGATTCAGTTTCCATTGAAATTCTGTCAGACAATCTGCACAGATGTGGACTTTCTGGAATTTTAAATAATTTCTTGCATAATTTGTTGTCAGAAAAGCCAATGCACTTTTCCCTTGGACGACAAATGACAACTTCCAGAATTAGCTACATGGGTCTGCCCCAAGGCTCATGTCTCAGCCCTCTTCTTTAAAACTTTTATGTCAAAGATATCGACAACTGTTTGGCAGAACAATGTACGCTAAGACAACTTGCAGATGACGGTGTGTTTCCGTAAGAGGTCCACATGCCGTGGACTTTCAAGGACCATTGCAAAGTCCTAAGATAACTTATCTTCTTGGGCTAGGAATCTAGGGATCGAATTCTCGTCGCAGAAAACTGAACTGGTAGTGTTTACTCAAAAGCGGTACCCAGCCCAAATGCATCTTAATCTTTTGGGCAGAAACATTACTCAATCATTGTCTTTCAAGTACCTTGGGGTCTGGTTTAATTCAAAGTGCACTTGGAATACCCATATTACGTATTCGAAGCAAAAATGTCAGCAGAGGATCAACTTTCTCCGTTCAATTTGTGGCACATGGTGGGGTGCTCATCCGGGAGACCTCATAACGCTTTATAAAACAACTATTCTCTCTGTTCTAGAGTACGGCTCTTTCTGCTTTCTCTCGGCAAGAAAATGTCACCTAATAAAATTGGAACGAATTCAATCTCGTTGTCTGCGTATTGCTCTCGGCTATATGCACTCAACGCATAACATGAGTCTCGAAGTTCTGGTAGGAGTAACACCCCTCCAGAACCGTTTCTAGGAGCTTTCTCTAAGAATACTAATCAAATGCGGAGTGACGAACACACTTATAATTGAAAATTTTGAAGAAATTCTTGGGCTGAACACACAATCTCGATTTATGAGAATCTACCACCACTACATATCGTCAGATATGTGTCTTCTTTGTTACACTCCAGACCGTGCTCACTTCACTAATCGCAGTTCCTCAATTGAATATGATCTGACCATGAAACAAGCAACTAATGGGATTCCCGATCAACTTCGACCTATTATTATCCCGCGTATTTTACTGAAAAGTACCAACACGTCAATTGTGTGAATAGATATTTTACAGACGGTGTTACTGCTTTTTTTACTTTCCCTTGGTCCAAACGTGGAAGGGAACGCTCCCAGGGTCGTTTTATGTTTACTCTCTCTGACACTGTACCTTCTAGCATAAAGAAGAATCATGAACAACATGAACGCTAAAAGGTTCATCAGGGTTGAATCCAACTAGGTACATTATACCCCGTTCACATTACAGCGTATATCACGTGATATACGCTGTCTTGCAATGAGCACTCATACATCTAGTTTTCACTGGAAATCCTATGTATGAATGCTCATTGCAGGACGTTACGTGATATAGGCTGTAATGTGAACGGGGTATTAGTTTCACCAAATCTAACCTCGGAAAGATTTCAGAAAGCGAGGGGTGCGAAATTCCAGCATTGGGTGAATTTTCATCGTCGAAACACGAATAACTCAGAAATGTGCGAAATTCTAGAAACACCTACTTTTTCACAAATCAAAAAAAGCCGTAAGCTGTAATTTAGAAATCATGCCTCGATAATTGAAGGTTTATTTTAATTGTTTACCTTACATAAAAAATCCTACGTGATCACGTGTTTTATCTGTTTCCTTGTATAGTAACATCCCTGATCCTATCCTTCGAAAATGTACCCTTCTAACCTCAAGTAAGCCGCGAGTAATCGGCCCAACTCCTACTAGACATAGAATTAAGTGAATTTTGTTACACACAGTGAACAATGAATTATCGGCTCCGTAAAGCTAACGTGATTGAGCCTTCCAAATAAACGAACTAGATAAAAAAAATTGTATAGTAACATGTCAACTAGCTTATGTGTTTTGTCTTCGTACTTTTCTGTTCTTGCATGCGAATTTGTGTTTTTTTAAATAATCAAAACAGCGCGACTTACGGTTTTGGTGGTGGAGATGATGGTGACTTACGGTGGTGGTACCGACTATCGGTGATGGTGGCTTATGGTTTCGGTGGTAATGGTGATTTACGGTGGTGGTACCGACTATCGGTGATGGTGGCTTACGGTTTCGGTGGTGATGGTGATGGGGGCTTCCGGTGATGGTGGCTTCCGGTGATGGTGGCTTCTGGTGATGGTGGCTTTCGGTGATGGTGGCTTTCGGTGATGGTGACTTTCGGTGGCTTTTGGCGTGATGATGGCAATTGTCTTGCAGCCTGATGGATGTTGTCTTTGAATGGCGACTAATAATGGCCTCAACAATGATTTCCGTGATCATGCGTCTATTTGACGACAATGGACTATTGTCTATTGAATCGCCATATTGATGGCGAACGTGAATCCACAACTTGGACGTCGAGAATTTCCCTCTTCTGCCGTTGTCTCCAAGGGAGTGCACGCAGGGTTGATTTGTGTTTTTGATGCGGATTGGAAGCAAAAGCTGCCGTATTCTAAAACAGAAAGGATGGTTGTTCGGTACAACCTGATCAGACCTTTGGGATTGGCTCCTCACCAAGTTCCGGTAATTGTACGAAGAAAATTAATCTTTTGCTGGCATTTTGTTTCAGATGAGCAATATGTTTTCCCCATGTGCATTTGGAATCGAACCGATTGTTTTACCCATTAGCTGAAGCTGACCCCAGAGATGAAAACTAAAATGAAACTGCCGGAAGAAAAACTTTCTATTTTAGTGTTCTCTTTCACGGTCCCTTTCATCCAATGAATACCCCTCGTATTCAAGGTAATTTTGTGGTTTTGCTGCCCCCTCGATTGAGATGAAATTTTGCGCTCATTTTTATCAAAACAATCACACCAAAATCAGAGATTACTCGATTAACAACTAATCGATTTTTTTTTGTTCGCTGTGCTGCCATTTTTCCAGCAATGAGAGTGCAGCACATGTTTGAAACGATCGGTGATGATCCTCTGGAGATGTCAATGCTTATATCGGCATGATATAACCGATTACAAATATTTTACTTTTCAGTTCGGTAACGGTAACTGAAATAAACACGAGTGTTCACCGGTTGCTGTAACTGTGCAACGGAAGCACCCGGAACGCGTTTCGTCTGTGCTTGAAGAGCGCAGTCAACGATAAGTCGCGATAAAAAGGAGTACTCATCCAGCGGAGGGATTACCTCAACCGATTCAATACCACCGAGAACCGTGGCCGCAAATTTTTGCCAGTCAAAGTTTTTCGTGAGGTCGTACGCGATGTCAACCGAACGAGTGGAGGATGAACCATTGGTAATAAAAATTTTGATTGGCAAGTGGTAACTACCGTAGGGATCTTGAATTACTTTCCACGAGCAATCCTACGATAGTAAACTCGAACTGAGAGAGAAGTCTAATCTACTTTCTCTTGCTGGAGGTTTGGCCACTCGTGTTACTTCCCCAGTGTTTAGAATTGTCATATTGAAGTTATCGCAAAGGTCGTATATCAGGGTTGAGCGGTTGTCATCGTACAGTTCCCCCCAGCCTGTACCGTGGGAATTAAAATCTCCTAAGATCAACCGAGGCTCAGATAAAACTGAGCAGATATCAGAGAATCCTTGGCGAGAAGATAAATTGAGGCTTTTACCTCGAATAGTTACCTGACATGCGACAACTTCAATGCCTGTCACGGAAGGCAGATCGATTCTATAAAAGTAATGGAGCTTATTAAACACGAAAAGCACCCCTCCATACAAATCTGCTCGATCCAGGCGAATAATGTTAAAATCGTGGAAAGGGAGATCGGTGTCTGAAGAAAGCCATGTTTCACAAAGAGCAAATGCATCAAAAAGTGAGTTGTGAACTAAAAATTTGAATGTGTCAAGTTTCGGTATAAGACTTCTACAGTTCCACTGAAGAACAGAGATCATATCCCCGACCTCAATCGGAAAATTATCCATCAAAAGATATGATCGATGCAAGGAAGGACCACCTAGAAGCTAGTTGCTTCAAAAGAGTTTTCATAATTGGAAGCACTACATTAATAATGTTGAGTTAGAGACGTTGAATATATTTAAGATGCTCTCCACAATTCCAGAAAACGTGAACATGAGAACATGTTCTTACTGATTTTTCAGCTGTTCTTCTGGATGAAAAATTGGGATATCTAGGGTTTTAGATGATCTCAGAAGTGGTGAAAAGTCCTTGTTAAAATTACAAGATTTAAATCCCGGTGGTGGGGGTTTCGGTACTTTTCCGCTACCTCTTAAATTTGTCAAGGTAGGTTGAGAGTCCATACGAGAGGTCTTACGAGGATTTTTAGTGACGTTTTTTAGTCGCTTTCTCGTGTTGCCTTTAAAGACAAAGAGACTACCTTCACCGACCTCTAAGTCAGAGCCCTGATCATCATCTGGCAAAATGGAGTATGTGTTTTTGGTTTTTGGGGATGGTTTGGGAAGATGAAGTGGTGTTTGTACTTCGGGAAATCAACCAAAGCATGCAGAGTATCCTTGAAGTAAACACATTTTGGGGTAGCCCAGCAAGGACCAACTGCATGCAGCTCACCACATTGATCGCAGCTCGAGCAGAAGTCAGCGGTGTGACCAAGTTCCTTGCATTTTGAGCAGTTCATTACCCGCGGTACAGACAAGCGTACAGGCAGTCGAACCTTCTCAATTACGACGTAGTCAGGTTGCGCCGATCCTGAAAAGGTCACACGGAACGAGTTTTACAGAGAATACGTTTTTTTCGTGCCAACGAGAGACACTGATTGCATTTGGATGCAATCCAGAATCTTCACTTTCGGAAGACATACACCTATTCCTGGAGGTTGTATGGAAGGAGAGCATAAGAGCTAGAATCTTACTTTTGTAATGTACATATTTTCTTTCAGCCGTCATTAGAGTGCTACAGTGCTACTCTTCGATCGTGTTTGCACTGGCACAAACACGAAGAACTGGGAGTTCAACAACGAAGAGCATACGGGAGAACAAACCACGAAGAGAATAGTTAATTTGCTAGTAAAGTGTACCGATAAACGTTAAACTTATTCGGTGAATGAGTCATAGAGTACGTGGTAATGGAATTTTGGTATATAGGGTGCGTGACGAATTTTTGCAGTAAATGGCATATTTGAGAAAAAATACACCAGTTAGTTATTCTAGCAATGAATTTTGTGCGATTTATTTTCTTTCGCAACATATGGAAGTTGTAAGTAAATTAATTCAAAAAAATTGCCTTCCCTTTCAACGACTGTAGTTAGACGCTTCCGGAAACTGCAGTATGCACGTTTTAAAATGTTTCGATCCATAGATGTCATCACTGCCTTGATTTTAGCTTTTAGCAACTTAAGTGTGGTGTGAGGGGTTCTATTGGTATCCCGTTGGACGACGCCCTATACAAAATAATCCAACGGATTGATATCGGGACTGCTTGGGGGCCAAATTTCTTCCTCCCAAATTTACGAAATATTTTCCGTAAGCCATTTCTGTGCTTTATTAGCAGTATGAGCAGGTGCTCCGTCTTATCACTTTCCCAAGCCTTTTTTAATATTATACACTGTTCTTTCAGACACATTTACCGACCGAAATATTTCTTTCATGCATACTCCGGCGCGCAACAAAGCGACAACGGCTGACAAATTGCTCTCTTGTTTCGACATCTTTACGTTTACTCAACATTGTTTGTTTAAATCTTACACCTAACAGTATAAGCTATCCAGTGCTGCCAAATATATCTAAATCATGATGCACAAGCATGAGAAATTACTATTTGAAATTTACTGCAAAAATTCGTCACGCACCCTGTATATTGCAAGACGAAGAACATCCCGAAAATAAAATACAGTGAAATTTTCAGTGGAAGCTCTAACATTAATATTTATTGTCGACAATAAAAATGATTGTTATAATGTTGTACTCTTCCGAAAACGGCAAAACTGCTACCTAGATGTACAATGAATGTACATAATAAAATGTTGTTACAATGATTTTTATCGTATTTTTCATTTATTTTATTGTTAACATGATTCGATCATGAACAATAATGAACAACTCTATTACAATAAAAATTGTTGTTACATTAAATATTGGTGTGTTTTCATTGTAGGTTACTTCACGAACAATGAAAATAAATCTGATTGAAGCATGCAGACTATGAGAGGAACAGCAACACTGCCAATGTAATCAAGATAGGCGCTGCTCATATGGCTCTGGCTTTGACAGTTCATTTGGCTCAAAACCAGCCAGTTCGCGTCCGCTCATCTCTTATCCTAGACCCTTTCTAAAACTGGGTTAAGATGGTTCAATTCAGCGTTCAACTCACTTGAACTGCGAAATGAACGTCCAGAAATCTGACCGATATCGGACTTGCTCTATTCGTTACCAAGTCAATTGAACGCCTACGACCAGATCGGTTTGAGTTTAATTCAAGTCACCTGCCTCATCTAAATCCCGTTTAATGCAGACCTTTTCCGTGCAGTCAATAATAATTATTTTTTATTGTAAATTTTCCATTTACCATGAAATTTATTGTTTTGTGCAACATAAATCAAGCTAAATTTATTGTAGACGTAAGACAATAATTTTTGTCTTATTTTTACATTGTTTTTTAATGTATTTTTGTTGTTATTTTTATTTCGGGTTTCCATGCCGAACAATAAGGAGAAAGTGAAACAATGGAATTAAACCAGTACACGTTCTTAAACTGAAAGATTGAGAAACGTTAGTATGATAGCAATAGGAGATTGCAGATATGGTTTTTGTAGAAAGTACTACATCTGTCCCCATATCTATGGGCGGCAGCAAGAGAGTAAACCAATAGATTTTCATTCCATTGTAAAACGTCCGTGAATAAAGTTAGTAAACGTATCGTTCGCTTTTAACCATTTATTACGCGGTTACCGAAAAAGTCTTTCCGGTGGATTCCTTGGTTCTTCCGTCGGTAGTTCTCCGCTGCATAACCTGTCCGCTGTGGTTAGTTATTATCCAACAGGTTATGGGCCCAGAAAAGTGGTAAAGTGACACGCGGACACGGACATTGTTCCCCACGGGTTGCGTCATTTGGCAGTTTATTACCCGTTGCCGTGGAGTGAGCTTTAGCGGTTGTTTGCGTAGTAGTGTTGCATTCGTATAGTAGCTCAGTGTGATTCTATGCTACTGATCTCTGCTGTATAAGTGTTGTGTAGATCACTCACCGGGAGCATAACTGCTCGAAAAATACGATTCTTCTCTTGTATCGGAGCACATCGGAGGCTTGCTCAAGAAGCTTGTGTGTTGTTGTGAGAAGTATCTATTCGGTGCGGAATCAAAACAAAAACCAAAACTGGGTGTGTTGAACAGTTCGGTT